ATTTGGGTATCATTTGGGTATCATTTGGGTAATTCCCTATCATTTGGGTAATTCGTCGGACCGGACAATGAGAGGTTGTCTATCCAACCAAAATAATTAATTGTAGATAAAATGACTAAAAATAACTAAAAATAAAATAATCAGTCTATTCAATGAATGTAGGTTAATAAGCTTGTGTAAATTCGTAAATAATATTCATTTTGCATCAATGACAGTTGATAAAAAAACATACACAGTAATTTAGTAGTATACCAATTTATTTTCATTATAGTGAATACAATTACGTATTTGCATTTAGTATTACAATTATTCTGTATAGTATGTAAACAGGTATATTATGCATCAACAAAAATATTACTTTAATATAGAGTACTTAAACTACAAAGAGTAAACTTACACTATAATTACTTACATTTAACATTAAAACTATACTGTAGGTAATGATATAGGCTATTATACATATTAAACTTTATATAGAGTATTACTGAAACTATACTCCATTACATATACAGGAAAAAAAATAGAGTTCACTGACTTATTATTACATACATAATACATTTAAGATTGCAACTATACAGTATGTAATGAAATACATCATAAAAGAAACATATTACTTTAATGTACTTAAACAAGAATTACATACCTATATGCATACATCATATTTCATTACAAATTTATTCAGTTTACATTTATAAAGAACCTACTTTTCAAAATAACTGATATAGCGTATATTTAAATTTTCAAACTAATTAATATGAGTTGCCATTTAATTCTTTTTCTTTTTCTTATTTCATAACAAATTTGTTCAGTTTACATTTATAAAGAACCTACTTTTGAAAATTTATCAAAATAATTAATATACTTGTAGCGTATATTTAAATTTTCAACCTAATTAATATGAGTTGCCATTTAATTATTTTTCTTTTTCTTATTTCATTCGAATATTATAACCAAGCGCAGTGATTGTTTCTTCTAATGTATTGGTTCGGTCATTATATTTGCTGATGATATTAACAAGTCGCTGTTGATGGTTGACTGTCACCTTTGTGATACGTCTTGCTGGTACTGGTTGTCCTCTCCTGAACAATTCTATTAGTGTTGCTGATGCTGCTTCATCTCGTTTGATACCATCGATGGCTTTCCAGATTGATGGATTAGTGTGCCCTACGTTCTCGAGATGCTTCCTATTCCAGGATTCACATAGGTTGTTAGTTCTAGCTCCTCCATTTAGCGTAAGTTGGTGAACGTTCCAGATGTCTATTCCGAATGTTGGTGGCATTCTCCTGAAGATTTGTTGGTCATTCTGTGCTGCGAGATGTGTATAAGTTCCACTAACATAGGTCGCATCAAAGTAGTCAACAAAGTCAGTTAATACCTCTGGTATGTTGTCCTTTAACAACTGCATACCTTCAGTGACCTACACAAAAGAAACAATAAAAACATAATTGAGCAAAATGTAAAATAACAGTATCAGATTGTGCATTTTATTTGTTTAAACTTCACGTGATGAGACTAAGACGATTAAGATCAGATATATTTATAACTTTCACAGAAATGTCATTTGAAAGTTTGCATGAACCGTTATGACAGTGAGCCGATTATGGTCAGATATATTTTTTTAAACTTTCACAGAAACATTATTCACTCAATTCAAATCAATTTCACATATTGATACATAATATGATAATAATAATAATAATAATAATAATAATAATAATAATAATAATGATAATAATATAACAATAATAATAGTAATAATGATAATAATATAATAATAATAATAGTAATAATAATAATAATAATAATAATAATATATCTGATATAATTAAGAATAAAAACTTATGTATAGTTAACTTTTTAAAATTATATTAGTTGTTAAACATTCAGAATAAAACATACCTTATCCGGGGGAAGGAAAGCAAGTCCATCCACCATTCCACAGAAATGCTGTATTTCTTCATCTTTTAAGTAAAGAGATGCAAGGCCCAGGGATTGTAACTTTCTCCATGATGCTTGTGTAAGGTGATAAAAACAGCCATGAATTGTGATGTTTTCTCCAAACACAGCACGTGCAGCCCTCATCATACCAATCTCAAAGTCCATGAGACATGATAAATAGAGCAGTGCATTTAAAAATTGCCTAAGACGACTAATAATATACTCTTAATAATTTCTAAGTCAATCTAATTTTCATGCCGAATTGTTGTGTTTTCCATTACCGCAAGTGCAAGTCAAATTTTGTTTGGGTCAAACAATTTCTCAATATGACATAGGCAAGTTCAACTATATATTTTAAAATACTAAACTAAAAATGGTGTATAGCAAAAAAATTGAAGCTTTGTCTTAAATTCCAATACCAAATTGATCAGCATGCAGACATAGGCATAATCCAGGCATTAAAAAAATAAGCAGTTTCATAGAATAACTTTACACAAGACTGTACAAAGCCATATATTAAAATAGTTGTTCCTGTATATATTGAGCCACATTTTCATACTGTACTATCAACTTCGCACATTACATATTTCAAAATTAATCCTCACAATTTGTTTTCTAAATCTGGGTCACATATTTGCTTCAAAAGGATTATTATTGAATGGGATTATACTGTAATACCATTTAATAATATTAAAGATATTTTGCAAGTGAAACAGGTACAGTATTTATTTATTATAAATTTGGCATGCAATATAAACCAGATGCGTAAAAAACAAAAACTTAAATGTGTGGCATTTCAGTATATCTTCAGAAAAAAAAATCACTAGATAAATCATTTTAATTTAATTCTTTGGAAATATTTTGGATTCAATCACTTGCTGCAGAGCTCTGAGCATCACCACCTTCTGCTAACCATGGATTGGACATGTCCATTTCATCATGTCCACACAGATGGAATTGTTTGCATCACATCCATCTGAGCCAGTCATTTGCTCCTATTGAGGAATAAATACCGTAGTTACAATGCAAAACCAGGTTTGTTAAAAATCAAAAATGTTATCAAACATTGGCATTTGCTGCTTTATCAATAACATACCATACTGAGATACTGTATGTACTAATCTGAAAAGACATTCATCAATTGACAGTATTTTCAGATTTTTTAATTACTTGATTAAAGCCTTCCTGTCGGCTAGTGTATAATGTATTATTGTTGTTTCTTAATAAAGACACACCATGCTGATATTTTTTTACCATTCCAATATATTTGTTTCATGTACTCTGGCTGAACAGTGATGAGATATTCACCTAATTTTCTTTTGCTCACCTTAAATTGTGTGCAGCTTTCATTACAAGTTTCAGCAAACAACCAGAGTGTTTCTTGCTAACGTCTTGCTGGGTGCTTGTATGCTTTGTACCACCTTCTTTCGTAGATGCCAATGTTGGGTGGTTGTACTCATGGCAAATGTTGTGGTATGTTCGCCTCATCATGGCGACTGGCAAATACCTATGTGAGGAGAGTGTCATGTTTCGGCCTATCACATATCGTGTCCTACAAAAATATATATGTATAATATTTTATTTGAATTCCACATTTCAACAGCAGCTGAAAGTTAGGTTTGGAGTAACATATGCATCATGTTATTATTTAATGGGGCGTTACTGTTGTATAGCCTAGCTTCTAGGCCTACAGTATATCAATAATAATCTTATTGTTACAGGAATTGGTGTTGGCTCTGATGATATACTGTAGTGTTATAGCACATCACCTTTAATTAGACAGTGCATTTTTTAGACATTTAGGCCTAGGCCTAGACAGTTTTTCATAGGACCAGGCCTATACTAGTATACTATGATTTTTAATGTAAGTCATTTTAAAAATTAAAATAAATTTAGAAAACTAAAAAAAATTAAACTTTAAGCACAGTGATTACTAAAATCTACAATGATTACTAACCAACATGCATGTTGTCAGAAGAAATGAATGAATTAAAGGCGTATAATAGGAATGTACAATAGCAAATTAAGTAAAGCTAGATAAAAGCAAGACCACCCAACATTGTTCACCCTGTTGCCCACCCACTTTAACAATGGTATATTCCAATTGGGTGGTTTATGTCCTGGGTGGTTTATGTCCTGGGTGGTTTATGTCCGTATACCTTATTAGTAGGCCTAGGTCTATTATGAAAAAAAAATGCACTAGCACAATTAATGTGACAAAGATGGCATGGCATGACAAGTCTAGGCTATGCTAGTAGTAGAAACCTACTATCTTTACCGTCAGCTGATAAGGCTGCGTGCGAACTCACCTGCTGCGGGACTGGAGCAGTTTTACCGGACAGTAGTGCGCTACTGCTGCTGGGTAGACACTGACTGTGTTAATCCTAGGCATAGGTGTAGGCCTAATTATAAACAAACAAGTCAAGTCATTGGACTGATATACGTTTATTAATTCAATTGGATTATTCCTCCATGATTGAATTGACGTTAACTAAACCGTCTCTCTGTAACTGCGTACGTAAACGATCACAAAAACTCACGACTTCACACTAGTGTACTGTATCTAGGCTAATCGCTCGATTTTTCGATCAGCTGCTTGCCAAAAATTAATTGACAGACTTGTCTTGAATATTAATGAGTTGGTTAGAAAATGCTACCAAGCTA